AAAATTAAAAAAATAATTATAAAATAAGGATGTGGCATATAGTATAGGGAAAGGAAAATTGAGCATCCCCATAACGTAATGAATAAAGTAAAGTAATGGGAAAAAAAGGGTTTAGAATAGAATGTGTGTGTTGAGTGTTGGGAGAATTCAAAAAGCCTGCGGATGTGCTTGTGTGAGTGCTCGTGTGGGGGAACAAATGGTCTCTTTCTTGTCTCCTTTTCATGCAAATTCCCTTCATTTATTTATTTATATATTTATGTGCTTTTTCTTGCCCTAATTATTAATCTTCTATTCAAAACCCTCATCCTTGTTCAACCAAGTTCATGTCTTTTTCTTACCATTCTTTTCCCCCTACCTTCATTCATTCATATCTTTTAAAAAGACAAGATTTTGGCATATGGGTATACAAGATCTCGAAGATTAAAGATATGTTTCTACTCGAAAAAACAACATTTTATTACGATGACGATGTATTGACTTATATTGTGTTTTAGTCGCTGAACTATGTTTGAATTGGCTCTAGAAATTCTAGTGTGAGTTGAACCCATGTGAGATTTATTGGGTCATTGGGTCATGACCCTTTTCAGCCTTTGTTTCATGCAATAATTTCGTCTTCCCCCACATAAAGAAGAAGAAAAAGGACCCATTAATTTGAAAGTCCTAGGATCTGATGAGAAAGAACGGGGGGAAAATATTGGTTTAAGGCGTGAGGGAATCTGGTTGGGGTAGGTGGCACGCCAACTTATTGCCTCAAATCTAGAGAGAGAAAGCTTTAAATAACTTTTATTTGGCTTTGAAAATACCAAAATCTTAGTGAAGAGGAGGAAGAAGAAGAAGAAAAAAGATGTCAAGTTTTAATAATAAAGAGAGAGAGAGAGAGAGAGAGCAAAGTTCAATGAAGGTGTTCCCTAATGGAGGCTCAAGGCAAGGCTGCTTTCCCGGCGGTGTCTGCGGTTAAGGTTGAAGAAGGGCTTGAGTTATGCCTCGTTCTTTGTGTGGGTGTGTTTGTGAGTGTGCGGGCCTTCCATGTCTCTCTATCTAACATTGCCACTCTTCCTTCTTTTTCGACATCATATGAACGTGTAATGTATCGTGCTCAAAATTTGAATTCGGATTCCATGCCTCATTACTTGGCTTTCCTCTCTATTTCTTGTTGCATGATTACGTTACTTATTTGTCGCTTCTATGAGTAAAAACTACCATCCCCATAAATCAATAAGAGTCACTTTTACGACTGAGACACTAGAAAAGAAGTTTCGCATTATCTCATTCTTTGAAGTTTAAGGTGACTCTTATTAAAACAAGGTGTTGGTGATGTCACATACTCTATGAGATCCCACTTCGATTGAAGTGACGAACAAGTGACAACGAAGACGCTGGACCCTGAAAAGAGGTGGATTATGAGACTCAACATCAGTTGGGGTGGAAAACGAAACATTTTTTATATAAGGGTATACAAACATATTCCTAACCAACAAATTTTACAAACTTTGAAGAGAAGCTTAAAAAAGACAACATCTACTAGCAGTGAACTTGAGTTATTACATACTTGTTCTCTCGAGATCAATCATTCAACTTCTCCTATCTCTACCGTAACCCTAAAAATGAAACCGTGACACTAAGATATTAATCTATATGGAATAGAAGATAAAGTAAGATATAGGATGGAAGGGTAAGGGTAATAAGCCAAGTATGTTATTCTCTGTTGGGCATAGGGCTTAATGAAATGGAAGAAGCACTTATGAAAAAGTGGGTATTAAAATAATATTAGTCCTAGAAAGAGAGGCACAATGAAAAGGGTTTTTTTTGTTGAGGATTTTAAAGGGCTTTTTGGTGGAAGAATATTTTCAGATGCATGCGCAGAAGAGAAAAGAAAGTATGGTTTTAATTGAGTACAAACCAAGCATGACCAAAACAAAAGAAAACCCTTCAAATCATTTCCCTCACCTTCTTCTTCAACCCCTTCTCCTTCCCCATCCCCCAACGCCCTTAAAACCCTACAAAAACCCCATTATATGCCATCCCATTCCCTCTTACTTCTCTTCATTACTCCCTTTTTTCATGCCCTTTTCGGCCCCGATGCTGCCAAACAGAGCGACGATGGTCGAGGACACTGACCGTGTCAAGAAAATGACGCGTCCAATGGCTTTCAGTATCCTACCTCCTCCTACTCCATTTGACTTGCCCTACCTAAAACAAAAACATACCCAAAAGTTGTTCATTTTGTTGTCCTTTTGGTGCCTCAAAATGGGTCCAATTTTCTGCTAGTGTTTCACTCAATAATTCTTTCTTCTTTTTGGTTGGTAAGTGGACACCTTTTTATACCCAAAAAGAGATTTTGCTTTCAAACCTCTCTCCTTCCCCTCCCCTTCTTCTCTATTGGGGTTTTGCAGCTTCATCATTCTTCTTCCTCCTCTCCTCTCCTCTCGTGTGTGTATAGATAGATAGATATAGACGTGTGAGAAGCATGAAACCGAAGAGAAATCGATACCAAAATCCAAAAGCGATGTTGGTGAGGTTCAATCTGACGACGAATTTCACAAGGACTGTGAAGTACGATCTCTGATTGAGCCGCGCCAATATCACTTTTGTATCATGTTGCTCTCTTTGTGTGTGTAGGGTTTCTGTATAATTTCATAACCCTGTTTTTTTTTTCCTTTCGTTTATCGAGAATGCATGTTTTAACTAGTTAACTATGCTCATATTGGTTTATTTTTCGACCATCACCTATTTCTTTCTTCACTATCCCTTATAGGCCAACAAATCATCGTCATCAACGAAACATATTTTAGATTCATCTGGAACGGATCGTAAGAGACGGTTAGTGTTCGGATTTTTATTTTATCACCGAACTTAAACTCAGGTACATGAATGATTTGCTACTATATTTAATTGTGTATTTAATTGTGCTATGTCTACACATGTGCATGCATGAATATAGTATATACAAAATGTGAATTGTAGTTCAATTATAATAATACATTTTCTTGACCTTGTTTGGTGAGTTGAAAAATAACACAATATATCAAAATTTAATACTAGACAGAGAATATATGATCGAATTATAATATTTGAATGAAATAGAAAAATGATTTAAATTGATTTATAATTTCTACATATAAATTTAAAATACAAACCTCTACACTTAAGTTAAAATATTTCATAAATATTCATTTTGAATGGATCATAAGGGTTAAATTACTGTTTAATAGATATTTTAATATTTAAATTTATTTAATAACTTTCTAAATTTTTAAATTTGTATTTAATCGATTTTAATTTTTTTTTTCTTTTAAAAGATGCAAAAATAGTTTAATTACGTGGAATATGGGGAAAAAAAAAAGGTACAAAAAGAAAATAATCGCTTCCCGCTTTCACAGCTAAACCAACGAACAAACCAGAATGTCCCTTCGCAATTTTTCGAAACCCTAAACCTCACTGAAAATTGCATTTGAACTTCCATGCTCTGCTCTTCAAAAATCAACACCTTCTTCAATTCATAACTCCAATTCTCCATTATTCGTCTTTCTAGTTCCTGAAATTTTGAGTTCAGGTCGATTCATGTCTCGTATTGAGCCCTATGTTTCGGATTCTTACTCGGAGCAACAGTTTTCGCTACAAGAAGCTACCGCCTCAGCTTCTCCTCCTCCTCCTCTCCGTGCTAAAATTGGACGGCTCTTCTTTCGGTAATTTTTCCATTTGTATTGGTTCATATATAACTCTGTTGCAAATTTTGTTGTGTTAGACGAACATTTTTGTGAGTGATCTGATAAGAGTATAGTCGGGAATGTTTTGATGTTGATGTGAGAATGCTATTAAAAAAACGTTTGGATGTTCTGCCCTTGGACTGGACTGAATTGATTTAATTACTAATGGTAGCGTAGAAAGTCAGGACCTATGGTCCTAGGTGCGAGTTGCAAGGACGGCGACGGTGGCAGAAGTTAGAGACGCGGTGGAGAGTGTTTTCTGTGGAATGTCGATGAATAAAGAAGATGACAAGATTTCTTGGTACGCTGTCGGGGGATTTGGAGTACTGAACCGCGCATATTAATCTAATATGTTGAATTGAAAATGAAAGTGTGTTCAATTGTTTATTTAGTTCAATTGCAGGCCACATGTGCGTTGTCATTTTTGCTTTTGCTATAAGCATTACAAGCTGATCGACGACAAATCACGTATCAAACAGTTTGAAATCAGAGATGTTGATAAGGTATTCCCTGAAGGCTGTTTAGGCTATAAGCATTACAAGCTCATCCATAAATTTCTTGTTATCATCCATTTTTTAGAGTTTTTTTCAAGATCCAACCAAATTTTGAAAACTTGAAAAGATAGTTTAGTTATTAAATAATTCCTTAAACTTATCTTCTGTCGGTTGTTTGTGACATTGAGTTTGGTATTGTATTTGATCGAGTAATTAACTAGTTATATATTCCCCCATGCTGCTGCATTTTGTGAACCGTGTAGCTTAATTTGTGGCAAGACTCTGTGGGTTTGAGATGTCCCATCAAAGAATAAATAGATAGAGCAAGGTAAGCGGGTTGAACGGCTTCTGGTATAAAGTGGTCATATGGTTTTGGGCGTGTGAATTATTATAAAGTGGTCAGATGGGTCTTTTTCTGATGTTGAATTGGAAGTTTTGGTATAATATAAACAGTATGAAGTTCATTTCATTTCAGCCAGTCAAGACTGTACTTTTCTTTCTTTCAATCCAGAAATATAGTCCTTTACAAGATCGGTCTCTAAGGTACAGGAAGAATGTCAATGAAAATGCCCAAGTGATCTGGAATTGATACATTTTCTAAATCTGAAATAATGAATATCATTGCCTATCTACACGTATCGGAATGAACATCAATTGCCACCAACTTCTACTTTCCTCTTGTGGGGGTAAGCCTTCAATTACATGGTTTCTAGTATTAATGAATCTTTTTAAAATAATGATTGGTGAAACGATTAAAGCCAGATATGATTCGTTAATAAATTTATTGTGATGGGACATATTAAAGAAATAAACATGATTAGAATCTTCATATAGTGTTATTATTCTCCATTGCTGATTGAAATCTATGGTGATAACTTGCCTGAGAAACGATGCAAAAAAAAAAAATCTTGATTTGACGTACTAAGAATGGAATTCCTCATAGAAAGGAAAGCTTAATATTTCCCATAGATGTTTAAGAAAGACACTGCAAATATGATACCCAAGGCACTGGAAGGTCTTGTCTACCTAAAGTTACAAGTCACTTACAAGGTAAGGCAGGCCCACAAAGGAAGATCTAATTGTGTAGTAAAGCTAATATTTCGCATTTCCTCTCCTAATCAACCTCTGGAATGCTAAACATGAACATTTCTGATCTCTGTTTACCTTTTATTATCAGAGAGGATTTGGAGATGGATCACCTAACATGCTGCTTTCCGATGTTCAATGGAGAAGCTCTGAAGTTTTGGGAGTAGGTTAGGCCTTCAGGTTTCTTCTTGCACCCCCCTTGTGAAGAAGATAAGCGGCAGTGAGATGTTAGGATGGCAAGGTCGTTGAGATGTTGCAGCGGAGTCAGGGTCTTCACGACTTCGTCCATGGTCGGACGTAGTTTCGGGTCCCTGCTCAGGCAACTGCAAGCAAGCTGGGAGACCTTCTGCACCCCTTTAATGGAATACTTGAATTCCAGGCGGGGATCAACTATATGATATAGCTTTCTTTTATCACCTAAATATGGCCAAGCCCATGACACAAGGTTTTGCTCCCCACTCGGACGTTTCTTGTCCATGGATCTTCTCCCTGTTACAATCTCAAGAAGCACAACACCAAAGCTATAAACATCGTTCTTCGACGTCAGATGTCCTGTGATCAAATCAACAAAAGTTGGAAGTTATGTCAGATATCAGTCATTACTTAAGATTCAATTCTCGGTTTCGACTAAAATTCCTCCACGAAGGCTCGCACAAATGATTTAGCATAAAGGGGTGTCATCGAAGTTAGAACATCTTCTACAGATATCTACCTGTCATTACATATTCAGGAGCAGCATAGCCATACGTCCCAATTACCCTGGTAGAAACATGTGTTTTGTCTCCTTGAGGCCCTGCTTTCGCAAAGCCAAAATCTGAAAGCTTTGCATTGTATTCCTGTAAACAAATGTCATTGTATAATGAGATCAAGAAATTACTCAAAACATTTGGAACCTACCGAATCGAGCAAGATATTGGATGTCTTAAAATCTCTATAGATAACAGGGACTGGGGCGTTATGAAGAAAGGCCAATCCTTTTGCCGCTTTGAGGGCAATCTTAATCCTATTGGACCATGGAAGAGGAATAGTCCCTGCACCAATCATGAATATAAGCATCTGTACCCCAACACCTTGTCTGTAACTAAGAGATAGAGATTCTTACTTCTGAAAAGATGGTTTTCCAGACTTCCACGGCTCATGAACTCATAAACAAGCAAATGTTGATCATCTTCGTTACAGTAACCTATAAGCTTAACAAGATTTGGATGGTGAAGTTGTCCAAGAAAGACAACCTCAGCCTGTAACCAAGAAAATATTTTACGTTAGCACTCCCCAACAGGTCCCCTTTATAAGGTAAGTAAGCCTTCACGAACCCAAAGCAGAAAGTTCTACTAACCACCCATTCTCTATGGCCTTGAAGACCATCTAGTTTCAAGCTCTTAACAGCCACCGTAATTCCTGCTCCGGGTTTCGCAGGGGCTGTCCCATTCTCTTCAATCCATCCTTTAAAGACAAATCCAAATCCACCTTCCCCAAGAATGCTATCAGGTCTAAAGTTTCCTGTTGCTGCCTTCAGCTCATGAAAAGAGAACTGAAGTAGTTTGCTTGTTGATTTGTTCTCTGATGGTGATGGATTGGCATTATCAGAGGCTAGCTCAGCTTCATTCGAGGTAGAGAGTTCCCTGTTGCTAGCATTCAAATACCGTGTTTCGGTAGCTGCAATCACAAAAGGTCAGTATCTTCTTAAGAACAATAAGTCTTCTTTTCACAGCCTACAAACGAACTAGTTCGGATAAATAAACTTAGCCATAGATGAACATGAGAAGACAACCAAAGGACTCGAGCTTTGCATAAACACAAATTTTGACACCCCAGATAGAATCCAAACCGAATATGGAAAAAGAAATAGAGGGTTACCAGAATCATAAACTAGGCTGGTTCGAGGAATGTTGTTCGGAGAGTCTTTAGAAGCAGAGGATTTGCAAACACCTGAAACAGTACGAGTCAAAACAGCCCAACAACCACACCTTTTCTCCATACCCTCAAGCTGCTGCTAGCTAGTTTCAGCTCAAATGGGTTGTGATTATCATAGCGTAAGGAAAGCAAATCAAAAGCACTAACTACACGATTATGGGGAAGATAAGACAGAAAAGGGATGCGAAAAGGAATAGGAAAAGAGAGAGAAAAGGAGAGGAATTTTGTTGGGCATTGCAGGCATCATCATCGCCATCATCCCAGTGTGTACAAAGTAACTTTTAACGCCACCACCTTTTGTTTGGGGAATGGGATCGCTCCAAAATTACCAGAAACACTTTGTCTATGGAAGTTTTGGCAATCAGAGAGGTCTTTGTAAACAAATAGTTCCTTGTAAAAGCAAAGCATTGGAAATAAGTTCATATTCCAATTTCCATCCATTGTTGAGGATTGTTAGGATGGAGTCGTGAGCAAAGAATACTGTCTCTATTGTTTCGAGGCTTTTGAAGAAGTCCAAAGTAAAGTGATAAAGGTGAAACCAAATCTGGGAACTAATCAACGTCCAGTCAAATCCAATCAAGAGCATATCTAAACAAAATCATTTCCATCTCTCTACAAACGTGCAACGAAAATGGTGGTGGTGGTGGATATATTCCAAAATGGGTGGGATCTAGAAGAACACAGTCGATTAGTGATTGAAAGGGGGAATACAAAATCAAAATCTCTCTCATTTTCACTCTGTGCGCTGTGATCGCAACTTGACAGAGGCCTTGTTGGATCGGAAAGTAGTTTGCAGTGAAACCCATTGGCACCCACACAGGTCTGTGGGTCCGATTTCCGATCCCCCACTCCATATTCAAATACCCATTTACAGAACTCCAAAGTGCGCAAAAGAGAATTACCAGAGAACCCAAAACTCCGCCCGACACATCCAGCGGCTGTGATGCGGCGCCAGGGTTTTTCTGCTGCCCCTTCCCTTCCCCGCCCTTTTCTTCAGCCTTCTTCTGCTCCTGCTCTTGTAAATACAAAAAATTACATTAAAAATATATATAATTATAATTTTTTTAGTGTAAAAGACAAATTTGCCCCTCCAATATTGCTAGATTTTTCTCTTTTTTTTATTCTTATTTTCATTTTTCTCTCTTTTGGTATGTGTTTTTTTTTTTTTTTTTTAATAAAACAAAACTTATTCATTACAAAGGATCACTGTCAGGTGTCAGGGAGTCCACCTCGACGAGCGTGCGCAATCTTTTCTTTTTTAATAAAATAAAACAATTTTAAGGTATTATATATTTGGATAAATATTTATTTCTTAAGAAGTCATTATATTCTCTCATTTTTATTAAATTTACTTCCTTTTTAAATAATAACAACCATCATTCTCCAATCATGCTTGGAATGGGTTCATTGTGTCAAACACAACATAAATGCACTCTATTTATCTCGTATGGAAGCTCGACAAAGACAACAATAATTGTTCGTAGCTTATCACTTTCTTAGTTCCCTTGTTATATTCTAATGGGTTCAAAATAGACCCAGACATTTCAGTTTGGTTAACGTGTTCGTGTATAAAATGTGTCAAACACATTGACACTAACGTTTATTAGCCCAATAAATACATAATTTTAACGAGTGTTCGATTTTTATTAGGCTTGTATCGAGTGCTCGTTACACATATGAAATAGTCACACTATCATATGGGACAAATATAATAAATTTTTAATTTAAGACTTTATTCACTAAAAATTTTAAAATATAGTTGTAAGTTTATATTGATGTATTTTCGTTATTTATTTTGACAAAAAATAAAATAAAAATATTCATATCCGCATCTGCACTCGAAAAAGGAAATCAAATCATGGCCGTCGGATAATATGGGCCCAGTGGAATTTGGGCCACACGAACCTAGTGCTATACTTGGGCCTGGGATAATTATTGTGGGCTTGGGTCTTAAGATGAGTAACTGGGCTTTTACATTCGGCCTCTGTCACTTCCTTTTCAGTTGTTATTAATTTCGATAAGAATGTATTAATTTAATTTATCATTAATGATTTCAAATTCACTGTTGCTATCTACCTATTAAAATTCATACCAATACTCTAATTGGTAGAAAATACCAAATTAAACCCTAGTTTAAATATTTAAATTAAATTTAACGATAACTAGAAGTGAATATTGATAAATATCTTAACTAATTAAATTATGTTACAGCTTTACATTAAGTACAATAACGCAAGGGTATGGAAAAGATGTGTACATTGAATCTAAGAACTCGAGAACCCGAACTAATCTAACCCTAACTACAAGGGTTGATTGAGTTAGATAGAATATCTAGTTGTGTTTAGTAGATGAAGTGTATGGAAAGTAAAAATGTAAATAACCCATGAAAAACTATGGTTTTAACGTACGGTAAAAAACTGTTACATACATAGAGCGCAGCAGAAGCTGGTTCATCATAACCAGACTTGTCATCAATCATTTGACGTTACAACTGGGCCGCTCTAATCTGAACACGTACTACTAGGTACTCCCCCTCTGGGCCCCTTTACTTCTTCTTACTCTACTATCACAAACACCCGAATATTACCCACGAACCCTCCTTTTCCTTTTCCTTTTCTTTTATTTCGATTTTATAGTTTAGATACGAGCAAATAATTTCAATTTTTATTAATTTACCACTAATTTTAACAATAAACCACGTATGTATATATATATATATATATAACAAATTAAAATTTAATTAATACAGTCGATTAACCCTTAAAAATTGGAAATAAATAAATAAATAAATAAATGGAAGGGTATATAAGGCCCGTGGTTTGAGGTGGGGCCATTTGGAGGAAGGGTAAGTGGGAGTCAGAATAGTATCTTCATGGATACAAATACCAGATTATCCGGGTTGGGAATATGAGAGACGTGACCTTTATTATTTATTTTTTTTTTTAATTTTTAAAAATTGAAAAGCATAGATTAAATTTAAATATAAATATTATCAGAAGTAAATGCAAATTCAATGAAATAGTAATAATTAATTTTTTTTATTATTATTTTCTTCAAATTTAAAGCATTGGGATCATAAATAAACATAAACACCGGAATATGAAGTCTTACAACAGGTGGGGATGACGTGGAGGTGTCAGGCAGGAGTCTGAAATCTAATTTTCATTATTATTATTATTATTATTATTATTATTATTAGTTGTTGGTAAATTATTAGTGGGCTGTGGGCCACATAGGGAGAGAGGGAGGGCCCAGGCCCAAGAGAATAGAGAGTAGAATGGGCCCACAGAATTGGAGAGGGTAACATATAAGCGCACATCATGTGACAATAATATGTGTCCATATATCACCCTCACATGGGTGCATCCATTCATGAGAGAGAGAGAGAGAGAATCCAGAATTGTACAGACTTCTTCTTCTCCTTTCTCTGGTTTCTTGCAAGAAGGAAGAAAGCTCAAGGAAACCATGGCGCGCTTTCGTTAACTTCGCCTCGCCTGGCCTGGCCTCACCTAGGTATTACGTTACAATTATATGTTCATATCTTCATCTTTATGTACACAACACTCTGCTTCTGCCTCTGCTGTAAGAGAAGCACAAAGGTCATGTTGCTATGCATAATTGCTGCCATTCAAACAAAGTAATCATCAAGCGGCTGGTGCATGGGGGCGACAGGCTCCAAAATCTGCAAAATCATACCTTTAATATATATATATATTCATCTGTATTTGTTACATTTTAAGAGTCTTGTCTTTAAAATTCTTTGTTAAACCACCTAAGCTTACCGTTAATATATTATTATTATTATTATTTTTTTTTTGGTTTTAAAACTCTTTCTATCGCATAATTTACATAAAAAAAAATATTTTATTCTCCTCTCTAACCATATTTGGTCTCATGCTTTATATTAATATTTTAGGACTTTTACCATATTTTTCATGAAAAATAAATTGTAGTAGTCGAACTTTATATGTTTTCGCATTCCTCATTCTATTTTTTTTTTCACTTATTTATAAAGATTCATGTATGACATTTCTTCTTATTTTGTTAAATTTTGGTTATAAGAATAATTTTATGTAATCGAGATTAAAATATAATAAGTTGTAAATACTAATAATTAATATAAATTATATTGTTACAATTTCTAATTGATTCAATAATTAAAAAAAAAAAGTATAAATTGATTTTTTTTACTTCTGTATTAATTTTTCACTTTGTGTCACCATCCTCTCTCTCTCCTCATCCTTTTCACATCATTTTCTATATATATATATGTGTATGTATTTTGACTCAAAAATCTTTTTCTCGTTCAAAATGTAATGGTGTGCTTATGCGTACTTGGAACCTGATACAACAAACTTTTGGGATGTACTTTTATGTATATGCGAAATTATACACGAATGGTATGATCAAATGAACCATATTGAAAATAAAAAACAAACCTATACCTATACAAAACAATCCCTTTAAATTTTACGTCATAGTATTGACTAAAGTTTCAAACCTAATATTTTATGATACTTAACACAGCAAAATGAAATTATATTTGACCCTTAAAGTTAAATTTATTAAAAACTTATTAATTGATATCTAACAAATTTAAAAACTTTAAAACCTAATTAGAAATAAAAAATTGGAATTTGTAAGCCCACAAAGCACAAGAAATGAAAACAAAAACCAAGGGGAGGCAAGCAAATAATCCAAACCCTGTTGTTGAAATTTGGTCACAGAAATGAGACAAAAATAATCCCCAACATAAGCATGTTTAAATAAATAATGGTGACCTATCAACTTTAAGGCCTCACCCAAAAGCTAAAGATGCCGACAGATCGAGAGCGTTTCACACAAGAATCCAATGGACAAAAAGATAATAAAAATTAGTAAACAAAAAATGAATGTTTCATCATAATTGTTAATGAGATAGTTGGATGCATGACCTGTAAAACATTAATTAATTAAGGAAATAGGGGTATGGGCTTATGATTTGCTCGTATAATAATAATTACATTAACAATTCATTTACATTACATTCAACAGCTCTTTAAATGCTAACCCTTAATTTCATGTTACACCTCGCTTTATGATCATTAAATTTATTATACAAATCCAAATTTAAAATTCACAGAGAAATTAAATTAAGCAATATTTTCAATTAACTCGTACTCACAAGCATTCTCAATGCATCAACAAGACAATACTTTATTCATACTTTCCTTATTATCTTCAATCAAACTTAATGGCGGATGCATGAACTTTCAATTATGTAGCTAAAAGGTGCTTATTTTACGAGACCCATTATTTCAATTTTGTAACCGAACAAAAAAACGCTTGGAGACTTCACCAACTTACTATATATAAAAAGGTAAAGTAGAGAGAATTACTAAAGCAATTTTCAACGTTTACATATTTATCCGGC